CAAACATTGGTGCGCGGTGCAGGGCTGGGCACTGCACTGCTGCGGCATGCTACACCAATGGTGGCCCTGGCACTGCAGGGACTGAGCTCGCCTTGCTGGGCCATGAGGAATGCGGCCATCCAGCTCTTCAGTGAGTACCCCAACCCTGCAGCGGTGCCCATGGGGAAACAGGAACCAGAACTGCACCCCACAGCACGGGTGTATGTCCCCATTCCTTCTTTTGGGTGGATCCCAGTGCTGGAATGTGGCATTGCCCTTCAAGGATGTTTGATGTTCTCCCTCCCTGCAGGTGCTCTCACCACAAGGCTGCTGGGTCAGAAGCAGAGCAGCGCTGAGGGCTGCCTGGTGGAGGGGCTGAGCCTGCCCGCATTCCTGGGGCAGCACCCGCAGCTGGGTGCCGTGCTGCTGGCCGAGCTGGGGGCGGCCGTGCCAGGGGGGCCTCACCTGCGCCCCGCACTGCATGCCATCCTCACTCTGCTGGCACAACTGCAGCCTGGCCCCGACGACCCCAGCGGGTAAGGCAGAGTGCTGGCAGCAGATGTTCTCTCCTTGGCGTGGCACCACACTGTGCCCTTTTTACTCCGTAGCCCCTCCGCTCACTTCCTGGAGCCGCTGCTGGAGCTGGCGGGGAGCCCTATCTATGCCGTGCGAGCCATGGCTGCCAAAGCACTGATTCCCGTCGTCCCACCGCCCCAGCGCCCGGCTCTGCTCCTGCACCTGGCCCAGCAGCTTCCTGCACCCGGGGGGGTCAGCTCACACAACACCCTGCATGGGCACCTGCTGCAGATGCGGGCGCTGCTGGCCCCCAGCCCAGGCACCGGCGGGTGAGTGACCCTGCATTCCCCCATGGCCGTGGTATCCCTCTGTCTGGGCCCCATGGTGAGGGTGTGTGTCCCCGCAGGCTGCCTGCTGAGGCCTTGCACCCCGTGGCCCTGCAGCTGGAGGCCCAGGGCTGGCTGCTCAGCCCTGCCCAGCGCTGCCCACTTGTCCGTGCCGCGTTCCTCCAGGTGCTCGCCCTCCTGCCCGGCTCTCTGAGCCCCAGTTTCACACAGAGCATCTGGGATGCTGTCAGTGCTGAGCTGGGCAACCTCACGCCGAGCAGGGAGCCAGGCTGTGCTGAGCTGCAGGTACTGCTCCTGTTCCCTGCTGTAAAGCTTAGGGCATGGGAGGTGGGAGCCCATCCTTGTCCTGTGCCCAGGAGCAGAACGCTGGGAGAAGGTCTCTGTTTCCCTCCAGGTGGGTGCAGCTGTTCTCCACCAGACCATGGCCCGCTTTGCCTGCAGTGAGGCAGCCCGACAGGCTGACAGCAAGAGAATCCACACTGTCTGCTCACTTCTGCAACATCCGCACCCCGATGTCCACCTTGCTGTGCTGAGCTGGGTGACCGATGGGAAAAGAGCAGAATGTGAGGAGCTGGAAAGGTCCCTCCGTCTGACACTGCTGGTACAGTGAGGCTCAAAATCACAGATCCAAAGTGGGACACTAATGCACAGTGGTCCCCCCTTGCACCTCATTGACCTCTTGGGAGGAGGCACAACTTCAGTGCACCCTCAGGTGCTGCTCAAGACAGCGTTTCTGAGGGCTTTGCTGATGGGGGGTACTGACCTTGTTTGTTCTTTCCTGTTGTTGACCAGGAGAACTTACAGTCAGTGCTGCAAGAGAGAGGGAACAAAGAGTTCCTGAGATTGTACCTTGAGGCTTTGATGCATCTTTGCAGAAGCTGCCCATCTTGGTCTCAGGAAGCTTCCCAGAAGCTCCAGGGCTCTGCCTTAGCATGTGTGGAAATACTGCTCCTTGTGATGGAGATGGAGCGCCCTGGTCCAGAGCTCCTCTCCCAGGCACTGTGTGCTGCCAGCCTGCTGCTCACCGTGGGGTAGGGCTGTGGGATCAGAGCCCTGGGCTTTGTGCCTGAATCCTGTGACCTCCATGTGGTCCGTAAGCCAGGAGCTGTGTCTCACCTCTCCTTCTGCCCACTCAGGTTTGGGGACGAGAATGCCCTGCTGGTGCAGCGGTGGTGCACGATGCTGGAGGCGTGTGGCCAACCCGTGGCAGATGAGGTGCTGCGCCTGGCAGCTGCGTGCTCCCTGCAGACAGCAGGCACTAAGGTGCTGCGGCGATGCCGGGGGGCTTCTTGCCCCTGGCTTGTCCCTGTGGCACTACGGTAGGTTCTGAGTGGCCCTGTATGTGTGCTCCCTCCTCCAAAGCACCCACTGGGCATGCAGCAATGCTTTCCTTCCTCCGCAGGGTGATAAACATGAGCATTCACCTCCTGCAAGATGAGGACCCTGATGTACGGCACGAGGCTGCAGGCTTTGTGAGCCTAGTGCAGCATGGCTTGGGGCAGCCAGGAGGAGATGGCTGCATCTTCGTGCAGGGCAACATGGGGCTGCTGAGCCTTCTGCAGCTCCTCCTGGATGAGTTTGGGCATCACCCCGAGACCTTCGGTTCACTGCTGCAGCACCTCCCCCAGCCCAACCTCAGGGCCATCATGGAGGACCTGGAGGCTGACATGTGAGTGCAGCCCCCTGCAAGGGTTGGAAAGGGGGGAACATTGGGTTGCAAGATGTTTTATGTCCCCACTGCTCCTCTGCAGCCCCCCCAGCCTGTACAAGGAGGACGAGCCCAATGTGTTCGCAGAGCCGGCCGCCCTGGCGCAGCAGCTGCTGCCCTTCCTGCTGCAGCTCCTGGAGAAGGCTCCCAGCTCTGCCCTGCACTGGCTGCAGGCTGCAGGCCCCGGTGTGCTGCAGGACCTGCACTACTGCCAGCAGCGATGGAGCCACGGTATGGTGGCAGCCCTGGGCTGGGAAATCCATGGTCCCAAGGAGCCCGGTGCTTACTGTACCTTCTCTTGCTCTCCCTGCAGAATCAGCCAGACGCTGCTGGATGAAGGCGCTGGGCTGTGCCATGTTGCGTGCTGCCCTGGCCCTGCTGCTGGTGAGGGCACAGCTGGTTGCCCGTGTGCTCCGGGTGCTGGGTGAGGAGCATGGAGCTGTGCTGGGGTTGGACTGTGATGCCCAGGAGCTGGAGCAGGAGCTGGCTCTGGTGCAGGGGCTACTGGCACAGCACGGGCTGTGCCCTGGTCCACGACAGAGCACTGTGCCGGCAGAGCATGGAGAAGCACATGGGGACGGCTAATGACTGTAGGCACGGAGCAGTGTCACCGAGCCCTGCCTTTGGGGGGTCCTGGTTCTCGTGGCCGCGTCCTGACGTTTTTTGAGTGCTTCCTGCAGCATGGCTGCGGGTGCAGGAGTGCAACTCGGGGAGCAGGACGCGTCCGCTCCCTTTGTGCCTGGATGCAGCAGCAGCGGCAGGCAGGGCACAGCAGCAGCTCTCCGTCCCACCGCCACTGGTACGGCATCTCCCGCACTGCTCCTGCGCTGGGGTCCGGCTGGGAGGATGGGACGTGCACAGGCGCTCTCCTTGTTACCCCGCTGCCCTTCCACCACCTTTTTTATCCGGTGTTTTAGCTGTATTTTGTGCCCAACCCAGGTTTCTATTTCAAATAAAGAGCCCCGCAGCAGCCGCGCCGCACAAGCCTCTCATTGCCGGAGCTTGCGGGCTCAGCACGTCCGTCCGGCCTCCGCGGGGCTCCCGCTGCTCCGCCCCGGTACCGGCCCCGCCCCGGCGCGGAACAGGACGCGGCACATCCGCTTCCCGCGGCGGCCCGGCCCGGTGGAAGGTGAGAGCCGGGGGCGGCGGAGAGCTCGGGAGCACTGGGCGGGGGGATCCCTGAGCCCCCGTCCCCGCCGCAGGGCGGTATGAGCGCGGCCAAGCCCAAGCGCATCAAGTTCTCGGACGAGGAGAAATTCCTCATCCTGGAGGAGTTCAGCCTCCGCAAGGACATCCTCATCCCCAAGAGCGGCCGCTACCGCAACACGCAGGACCGGCAACGCGCGTGGGAGGAGATCGCGGCCGCCGTCAACGCGCTGAGCCCGGTGGTGCGGCGGACGGCCGAGGAGATCCGCAAGAAGTGGCATAACATGGTGCTGGACGCGCGCCGGGAGCTGGCCGCCGATAAGCACCCGCTGCTCCGCCAACGGCCCCAGGAGCGGCTCTTCCATCACATCTTCGCCCTCTTCAACAAGCCCGGCCCTCCGCCCGCCCCGTCCTTCGGGCTGCCCGCGGCCGCCCCCGAGCTGCTGCCGCACGGCCCCGCTCCGGACCGCTTCCCCGGCCCCGAGGAGCGGCCGCTGCCCTGCGCGGAGAGCAGGCTGCAGCCCACCCCAGGACCGGCCGCCCCCCGGGCCACCCAGCCGCAGGGCGCAGCCCCCGGACCTCCGCCTGGCAACCCCGAGCCGCCCCGCGTCAAGTGCCCGCCGAGCCCCGCGCTGGCGTGGCCGTGCCTCGAGGCCATGGCGAGTCCCGCATCGCTGGGGACGGGCAGCCCCGGGCCCCCGGAACCCCCGCACGACAACGGTGAGCAGCCCCCAATCCGTGCTGGGACTCCCGATCCCATTCCCAACACCGGAGTGAGGTTCTGCATCCACTCCGGGCAGCGATGCTGCAGCAGTTTGGTGATATCTCTCTTTTGCCCTCACCAGAACCCCATTCCCACTCCCCTCCCAGCCTTAACACCTTCCCTCGCTCCGTGCAGGTGGCACAGCGACCTCCGAAGAGCTGTCAGAAAAGCAGAGGCGGCTGCACACCGAGATCCTGGAGCTGCAGAAGGAGACCCTGCAACTGCAGAAGGAGAAGATCGTGCTGGAAAAAGAGAAGCTCCTCCTGGAAATCCTGAAGCTGCGGAGGGAGTTGGGCACGTGAGCGGCTGCGGGGTGATGCCAGCAGCCCTGTGCTGCTCCTCCTGGAGATATTGAACATTTTGGGGCTCGCCGAGTGCTCACACAGGGACTGCTGGGCGCTGTGGTGCATGGGGCTGAATAAAGTGAGCAATGTGGGATGTGGGCATGGTGCTGTATGGCCGAGGTGGGGGTCCCAGCTGAAGCCACCAGAGGGTGGCTGGGGGGGGACAAGCAGGCACTGGGGACAGTGATGTTGGTGCCATATGATGATAAAATGGTTAAGGTTGGAGAAGACCTCTGTTATCATTGAATCCAACCATTGACCCATTGCTACCATGCCCAATAAACCATCCCAAAGCGTCACACCTCCATGGATGGTGACACCACCACTTCCCTGCCTGTTCCAATGCTTTGCTGCTCTTTCAGAGAAGAATTTTTCTTAATACCCAACCTGAGTGCACTCAGCCCTGAACAGCATTGCCATAGCCATGCCTTGCTTTCCGTGCCAGCTTTAATTGCGCTCCTCACACCACACCAAGCAGCCGAGATGCCCTTAGAGGAGTTGGGCTCTGCTCACCTACACAAAGATGAATGCTGGGGGGGGACAGGTGCAGCTCTTCTGCAGAGCCTCCTGCACCCACGAGCCCTGGCACCCTGCTATGGAGGTGGCCACCCAAAACGTCCTGTAAGGAAAACCCAGCAAATGTTGTCCTGCTGTAAAAAATATAGATGCTAAATTATCAGCTTTAATGGGGAGGAAGATGGAATGCCCCTCAGGAGTGCCCTTAGGGCACATGGCATTTCGCAAAGGACATTCCTCCCCCCCAAAAAATTGCCTACCTGGCTCCTTGCACCCCGTATCCATCACACTGGGGATGTCCATGGGCTTTGTCCCCCCAGCACTCGACGCACACCCGTTTGTCCCGCTGTAGCCGGCGGCTCCAGGGCTGCCCACGACAGGCAGCTGCCACCTGAGTCAGGCGGAAAAAGCTGCAGGAGATGGGGAGGTGGGAGCTGGTTTGGGGAAAAATAATGGTTGGAGGTAAAGTGTTTGCTTTGTAGAGCTTACAGGGGTTCTGCACGGGGTGGGAATAGGAATGGGGTCACGACCGCATACCTACCTGGATGACTCCTCCGACTGCTGCATCCCAGTTCTGCGCCAGGGATCCCTGATGTCTGGGCTGAAGGAATCGGGGAGCAGTTTGGCCACCCCTGGCACAGAGCAGCAATGGTGAGGTGGTGACAGCCACTACAATGCAGGGCTAGGAAGGGGTCCTGCATTACCTTTGGCAGCCCCACAGGCCGGGTCATCCCCCAGGCACCCACGGCGCTGCTTGAGGTCGGGGCAGGGCTCCCCGCCGTGCCGGGGGGGCACGGTGACCTGGCGGCTGCGGTCTTTGCTGCCCACCCCGCATGGGGAGCTGCAGCTGCTCCAGGGCCCCCACGGCCCCACTGCACAGCCCACTGCTGAGAACAGAGAGAAGAGATTCAGTGGTGTAGAAGAAAAAGGAACATGAGCAGGGGAGAATCTGTGCACAGTAGGGAGAAGGGGGAACCCGGGGCTCAGCCCCACAGCACAGTGTGCTTTTATTGTCAGGCTCTGCATCGAGCTGAGCTGGGACCTCACTAATCTCTGTGGAGATTATGGAGCGCTGACAGTGCCGTTGTCCAGCACAGCCCCTGACCCTCAGCAACAGTGGTAGGCGTGTGGCTCAGCCCTTGGTACCCATGTCCCAAAAATCAGCCCTGGAGCTCACAGTGACAGCACTGCTGCTGCTGTCACGTCCAGCTGCACAACACGCTGCGGGATCCCTCACCGAACAGAGAAAAAAGCAGAAAACTGGGATGGTTTGAGCCCATGCCCACCTACAGCCCCAGGCACAGCTCATCACCTCTCAGAGGGACCGCTGACGGGAACAGCAAAACCCCACCGGCACGAACGGCACCACCACCCTCACCCTGCCCCACGGCTCACCGGCACGGCGGCACGCAGCCTGGTAGTCCTGGCAGCAGTCACCCGTCCTCTCACAGTACGAATCGCAATAGCAGCGAGTGCGGCGTGCACCGGTGGCCCAGCAGGCGTTGTTCCTGCCTGGGCAGCAGCGGTGCCGGCAGCCACCCAGCACGTAGCCAGCGGCCAGCAGCCACCCCCCGCACAGCAGCAGCCCCTGCATGCTGCCGCAGTGCCCGGCTGTCCCCCGAGGGGCCGGGCTGCACCGCACCGCCCCTTGCCTGGACGTGGGGATCAAGCGCCTTTCGTTCTGCTCCAGTGCCCCGGCGCCTGGCTGTACACACATCCCCATCCCAACCACCTTGCTGAGCTGAGCTGGGTGACCAACAGAGAGGGAGCAAAGTGTGAGGAGCTGGAGAAGCCCTTCTAGCTGATGCTGCGGCTCCCAGTAGGGCATTACTGCACCACATCCCTTCTTGTGCCCTTGGGAGGAAGCACAGGTCCATAGCACCTTGTTGGAGTGTGTCCAGACGAGGGTCACAAAACTGACCGAAGGGATGGAACACCTCCTGTACCAGGAGAGGCTGAGAGAAGGGCTATGAAGCTGTGCAGCCTGGAGAGAAGGCTGCAGGGAGAGCTGTGAGCGGCCCTTCAGTATCTAAAGGGGCTGTAAGAAAGAAGGGACAGATTCGTCAGCAAGATCTGTGTGATAGGTCAAGGAGAGATGGTTTCAAACTAAAAGAGGGGAGATTTAGGTTGGGTATAAGGAAGTTGTTTACAGTGAGAGTGGTGAGGCACTGCACAGGATGCCCAGAGAGGTGGTGGTGCTCCATTCTTGTAGACAGCCATGGCCAGGGACGGGGCTGCGAGCACTGCTGGAGCTGTGGGTGTCTCTGTGCACTACAGGCAGTGGGAACAGACGGCCTTCGGGGGTCCTTTCCGACCCCAACCATTCTATGATTCTGTGATCCTCCAGTGCTGCTCAGGGCAGCGTTTCTGATGGGGAGCACTGACCATAACTCTCTTTTCCCGTTGCTGACCAAGAGCACTTAGAAGCAGTGCTGCCAGACGGAAGGAAAATCACTACTTCCAGGTTTTTGCTCTGCCATAAATCTGTCTATAGCGATAAATCTTCCAGGCAGCAATACACATGCGCTCCCAGATGCGGAAGAAGCCTCTCCCTTCTGTTACCGCTCTGCACCGACAGTCCGCCAAGCTCTATGGTACTAAGTCCTCCAGGCGCTGCTACGCACGCGTACGGACATCAGCTCCGGCGCATGCAGTACCGCCTTCCACCAGCAGGGGGCGGCGCGAGAGCCGTGGGGCTCCTGCAGGAGGCGTTCTGTGGTTCAGGCGGTGCGGGGCTGTGCGGTCCGCTTCCATCACTTCCCTCGGCTGAAGGCTGCTGCTGCTCGGCAAGGCGCAGCGTACTCACAGTGAAGATCCGGGCATGAATTAGGATCGCTGCTGTCTCAAACTCACACTGTCATCAGCCAGAGAAGTGTTAATTGCGCTTGCATCCCTGTGAATGCTCCAGCCTGTAGGCTTTGTTCTGCTCTGAGGTCCAACCTGTGCCGTTTTTCAGTAGATATGTCAAGACTCATCTTAAATTTTGATCATAAACACGTGCTGTCCCAGCTCCCATCTTCCTCATGAAGGCCTGGAGGGTTGTGACTATGAAAAGCACTCCTACATCACAGCTGCAATTCTCGTGCCAACAAAACTGCATGTTTCAATAGGAACGATGGCACTGCTCGGCTACCTTGACCCTACCACTGCCCTTCTGGTGTTGTACAGCAGGCCTCCATTATTCCCGATGAACATCCTTGCAAAGTCTGTGAAAGAACTGCTCCCGAGCCTTCAAGCAGCACGAACTGCTTCTTCCAGTATCTTTTTCCTCTCTCGTACATGACGTTCTGCTGGCACACAGTGGGCAGCAAACATGCTTTCCCCATGTCACGCTTTCTTCTGAGCAAATCTGTACTGTCAGCATCTATTCCTTACGATTTTTCTTACGGATAACCATTTCCAGTGCCTCCAGTAAAATTAAAACATAATGCCCTGTGCCACGGACTCCACGCTCCTGAACTTTGGAGCAGAAGGGCTCGGAAAATGAGCACATATTTCCTCCTATTTTTGAAAAAAAAAAAAAAAGAAACAAAATAACGTATAGGAATTATAATGACTGCCTCCCCAGCTCCCTTCATCATTTCCTGAATGAGAAATGACCTCTGAAAAGAGCATTCCTTCACTTGGTTTTGCTTCAATAGTTTACAACAAACCTTTGAACAGTGAGAATCCCTATCGTTTCTGGACACGTGTTTCTATAAAAGGCTCTTCTTCTGGCACAAAGGCTGTCACAATCAGCTGTCCTCAATCACCTGAACAAAACATGAAATCTGTCGGTGCAGGTGTTTCTTTATTCATTCTCTTCTCCCTCGCTGCCCTTTGGAATACAGGTGAGTGCCTTTCAGATGTTTTTCTGCTTTACTTCCAACACGATCAGGTGTTCTAGGAGAGAATTCAGGAGCCACATCCACATATTATCTCAGGATGAAGGATAGAGGCCAGCAAAGAGAGACAGAAATAGTGGTACTTTACTACCTTTTCATTCTCTTGCTCTCTCCACCCTACAAAAAACAAATAGCCCTCTGTCACCTTCACCCCCTCTCCTCCCCCAGTACACAAAAGAAAACCCCGTGACATTTTCTTCTCCTTCTGACAGAAAATGTCATACCTGAAGCTATGACCATGATTCTTTCTTCCTCTTATGGTCTCATTCACACGTTGTCGATGACCTTTGGGAAGTATGTCAATCTGTAGAATTTTGGAATGCAGTCGATTTCTCCTCCCTAATCTGCTACTGCCAGCAATCCTGTACTTCCACATGCAGGAAATTCCTCCTGCCTCAGTCCCACATATGTGGTTACTGCTGTTGTGGATCCTACCAGCACAAGGATAAACCCCTGCTCCAAAGAGGCAAATACAGATACTATACTCACAATGTTAGCTCAGCAAGCCACACAGTCTTACACAGTCTGTAACTGTGTTAGTTACCCTCCCCTAATTATATGTTTATCACTGGTCCCAGTTTTGCTACATTCATGGCCAAATTTAGAATTTCAGATATTTAGTGAGGTCAACTTTACATGGTATTATTGGCATAGTTAACACAGTGTTATTCTCACAAGATTCAGCTATCAAAAGATTCCACTCCACTGTATTCCAAATTATCAGTGCAGCTTGTCCGTCCCACTCAAATCCCTCCTCACTCTCAAACCCAGCCATTCCTCTGTCAACTTTTTACTACTTTGTTGTATTCAGCAGTTTTTCATGTCATGTCCAATAATAACTCACGGTCTACTCAGGTAACTCTCAGCCAAGGCCTGGTGATCTGTCCACCTACCTAGTTATATTAATAGCTATGTTGTTGACATTAAATTCAAATCAAATGCACAGCAGGAAGAAATCTCAACTTTCCATAATCTCATCTTGGATCACACTTTGTCACTAGTGTCAGTTTCTCATTCATTCCAAGAGCACTAGGCTGTTATCATTGATTCCTGTTATCGCTGATAAGGAAGAAGTTTTGTCACCGAGGGCAGTGAGGCACTGCACAGGGTGCCCAGAGGTGGTGCTGCCCCATCCCTGCACACAGCCATGGCCAGGGCATGGGGCTGTGAGCACTGCTGGAGCTGTGGGTGTCCCTGTGCACTGCAGGCAGTGGGAACAGACGGCCTTTGGGAATCCCCTCCTACTCAAACTATTCTATGATACTCTGTGATGATTCTATGATGCTCCTAGAAATAACTATTACTAGTGACACTACCCAGGTGATGGGGGGCAGGCTGCTCTTCAGATCTATCTTTTCATTAGACATAAAAATACCCATAGAATTGTTGAAATAATATATAAGTGAATTTTTCTAAACAGAACGGAGTAATGTTAATGAACAGGTGATTGTAGCCTTCATCTGACATAAACAGCCTACCTCATTTATTTATGGCAGTTCTTTAGATGTCGTATTGCTGCTTCAGAGAAGAGCTCAATGACATTCCTGACAACGTGTTGTTTGTTTTTCGTCTTTGATTTGTTCTTTAACCAGGAGCTCAAGACTCTTGCTCAAGCCAGTGTGGGAAGCTGCTTGGTACCTGTTCATGCCAGGAGATTTGCCAATCCTTGGGAACTTGCTGTCCTGATTATAATGAATTTTGTCTTCAGATTTCTCCATACTCAGGATCTCTGATGGGAGGCAAAGATTTTTTGATAGAAAATACAGCTTTTAATACTTCTGTGTTAATGTGCAGGTGAGCCATGACTTTATGTTCCTCTGCCAAAGGGAGATACCCTTTCTAATCTCGCTTTCTAACAGTAGGCAATTGCCTCAAATCAAGACTTGTCAATACAGGAGTAAAAACTTACCAGAATCCTTGCAAAGTTTCTGCTAACCCTTATCCTCAAAGATACGTCTGCATTTCTAGGCAGGGTGACTTCCTGTAGGTCGAGTTACTGCGTGACACAAATATTCCTCTGTTAAGTTGTTCCCTTACAATATCACTACAGTGGCTTTTAAAAAAGTTTCCGTTCTGAACTTTTTGTTCCTAGAACAAGGCAGAATGGCTTTAAACTAATAGAGGGGAGATTGGGGTTGGATGTGAGGAAGCAATTCCTCGCTCAGAGGGCAGTGAGGCCCTGGCAGTGCTGCCCAGAGCTGTGGTGCCCATCCCTGGAGGTGCCCGAGGCCATGGGTGGACACACAGCAGCTGTGGGGCTGGGTGGGTTTTAAGGCCCCTCCAACCTCAGCCAGTTTATGATACTATGATTTGAATATTTTTTTAACATTGTATTTTGAGAAAAAACAATATTGATTTATTAAACTGAACAAGAAAGAGAAGTGATTAGACACCTTATCTTTCTTCCTGCAAGACAAATCCTTGGTCCTCAATGTCAGCCTGTGACATACTTAAGTACGTACCACACATGCTACACATATGGTACACCACACTTCAATAGCCCTGATGTCCTTACTTTTTTTTCTACAGAAGCTTCTGAGTCAGATTTTAGTGTCCCTCCAATCTGCATAGCAGCATTTGAGAAGATTTTAGTTTTTCAACAACTTTGCACTTTGAATTAAGTGAACTGTTGCTTTATCATAGCTAACACAAGTTTCAGTTTAGATGAGCAAAGAAACTACTTTTTGGCAGGCTCCAAACTTGCAGCACTACTTGGAATAGCTCTGCAGTTCCCATACATCAATCCTGAAGAGTCATGGATAGGCTTATAGAAAGGATGCCAGGCAGGAGCCCTATTTGGAAGCAGATGGTTAATTTACAAGCAATGAGCTCTGAGTTTGTTACTAATTTATCTTGTCCCTCCCATAATTAAATTGTAAATCTAAGGCTTGCAACTTGCTGTGTATTTGTGCAGTGCACAGCAGAATCCTCACTGCAGTGATAAGAACAAAGTACACGTGAATTTTTCTAGTTTTCACTGATAGAAGCAAAACAGCCATGGGACTTGGAATGAGCTGCACTTTAAAATAGCTTACATAGACTGAGACATTCACAATTTTTCTGCTCTCATCAATGGCTCTGAGAAATGTTTCCAATATCAACAGATTCAAGCAGCAAGTCATAACCAGTGGCTATGTTGATAAGGATGGAAAAGCCCACTGCCTCTCCCCGTTGCTGTATGAAACTGGTTTCATCCCCTTTGAAGTTTCTACAGATGGCGGGCTGACATTTCCATACTCTGGAACTTGGTTATCAGGTTACTTACTTCAATCTGTGATATCACCCTTCTTTCTGTATTCTTGCTTCACAAAAACAAGATGATATAAGCCTTTCCCACTTTCTTAATGGGCTATTTGGCCTCAAAAAAGTCATTCTTGATCCCTTCATGGTAATTCCTATTTTGAGAGATGAAGTTTTACTGTGGATGAGTTCTGCTGTTATTCAGCAGCAGCAGCATTAAGTCACAAAAATTCTTGAGGCTGACCAGAAGAGTTTCCTTTTTGGTAGATATTTATATTGGAAAAGATCTGCACCTTGCTGTTGTATCCCCAGGACCACATGCATTACTAGGGGTTGTATTCTCTCATCTCCAATTTACTCTATCATGCATCCTGTTAGAAAACACACATGGAGGAAATACTGCTAAATCTATAATTGCAACTTCTCATAGCTATGCAAGACAAAAATGTCATTAATTATTATTTTATCGCTAAATTTGACATTTTAGGTTTTTCTTGTGTTCTGTAATGCAGTACATCACAGCAAGGTTTTGGTTGAAGAGTGCACGTTGGTCAATGAGACGAAATGGCAATACTATGGCACTCCTGGCACGGATGGAAACTTAACTCTGACCTGGACACACCAAGCACTTGCAGCACCCCATATCAACATAGAAGTCTGGGGGTACCAGGAAACAGGTAAAGTGCCCTTCTCCTACCTGTACACGATGCACAGAGCTCTATAAATCATGCATTCACTTTCACCGAAGCTACAGGAAGAGATTTGCAAGTACAGAGAAGTCATGCTTGTAATGGCAGCTTTGCTTTTCAGTTCCACATGGGTGGAGGCATCTAATTTCAGTCGTGTTGTTAGTTAACTCTTCTTTCACAGCATCTAAATGGATTTTCTTCCTCTATATGACAGGTGACAGTTACTCAGAAAACTGGCTTGCTGAATGGAAATATCTTTATACTTTGGCAAGAGAAGTTCCCAATACAGGGACATTTTCTTTCATTCCTGTACCTGCTGAAGCAAATTACAATACTTGGGACTTTGGAATTTTGAGAATTACCCCCAGCACCTATTCTGATGGGCAAAGGCAAGTACATGACAACATTCATTTATCATAGGTACCCTATTATTACTAAAATTGCCTTCTTCTTTGACACTTAAAACCAGGACTTGGGCTCTGTTTCTCATACAAAAAAATCTAGCAAATCCACTTCAAAAACTATAACATCTACCTTTCAAGCATAGACCCCATCTAAAAATAAGTATGTGATCAATCAATTACCTACAGTAGTCATCACAACATAAAACTTAATCACCAATACAGTATTTAGGATGTCTCATAGGGGATACCAGCACTCACTGCTCATTTTAGACATGTTTTCTTTATCTTCCTTCTACTGAGAGTAGTTTCTCTGAGGCTCGGTGTTGGCTTGTTGTTGCAGTTTTATTTATTTAACTTTACCACAGTTTTATTGCTATATATTTTATAACACTGATTATCCCTTTGGTCTGTTGGGGTCCCTGCCTCTCTCCCTCTCTCAGCATCTTGCCAATCTCTATCCTGTTCCCTGGGGGGCAGAGTGAGAAAAAGAGAATACCATGATGTAGTGCAAGCACTCTTCCAGCACAA